TGAATGTAGCTAAATCCGACGATCAGGATTACTTAACTTATGCATCTATAGTGAATAGACATTGTGACAATTTCAGATTGGCAGAGATTACGGTTGAAGAATTGAGTGTTTAATTTTTGCTCAAGGACTGGTATCCAGTAAGAGTGCGAAATAAGGCGTAGAGTTTTGTCTAAACTCGAATCTGAACAAAACCTTACCTTGCAAAAAAGTTAGCAGAGGAGTGTCAATGGGCCGTAAGTTTAAAGAAAGAGTCTCAAAAAATTGAAGAAGCTGGTATTGCTTATATTAAAAAAAGTGAAGAAACAGTCAAATTACCCATCAAAAAAAAAAATTGGATTAAAAATTTGCGTATTTTAAAAATAGACAAGAAAATTAAATGAAAAGAATGAGGAGGAAAAAAAAATGGTTCCGCCATTTAATTGTAGGCGGATTGCAACGGAAGACACTGGGAGGTAAATTGCCCATATAGAAATAAAAAAATTTTCGTGTGCCACAAGAATGGTCACAAAGGGTCGTGTGTTAAAACGAAAAAAAAGTCAATAGCGAATTAGACAAACAAATTCAAATATCAAATCAGATAGAGATTTGAGGAAGTATGTGACGACTGAAATATTTAAAAGAATATCAAATTTCAACTCGATTCGGGTTCAGATTTAACAATAATGAACTATAAAACATGGAAAATTTTAAAAAGGCCTACAATAATGAAGTCAACGCTAAACGCTCGAACAGTGACTGGAAAGGAAATTAAATTCGAAGGCGAGGTTGTACTTCCCATGAAATTGAACAGGATAGTTAAAAAAATAAAAGTTTTCATTCTGAAAATGGAGAAAACTTGATGGGTACAGATTTTATTGAAACATTGAATTGTGGGATAAACCGTTAAACTCTTTCTGCAGAAAAGTAGAAAGTAATATGCAAACAAGACAGGACATTAATGAGGAATTAAAGAAAAAGTTTCCGGAAACTTTCACCTGGTCTTGGAAGATGTAACAAGTTTGAAGCCAAATTCGAATTAAAAAGGAAAATACTATGCCAATTTTAAAAAGAAACGTAATGTGCCTTTCATAAGTGTAGAGAAAATTAACGAAGAACTTGATAGGTTGGAAAAAATGGGAATTATTTCAAAAGTAGAATCTAATTCATGGGCTGCGCCGATTGTGTGCATAAAAAGAAATCAAACCAAGTCAGAGTCTGCGTTGATTTTTCGACAGGGTTGAACTCGGTAATTAAGAACTACCATTACCCGTTACCGAGTCCGGAGGAGATTTTTAACAAGCTAAATGGTGGAGTTATATTTTCAAAAATTGACTTATCAGATGCCTATCTCCAAATTCCCGTCAAGAGGAATGTTGAAGTTACTAGGGATAAACACGATAGAGGGTTATTCAAGTACAACAGGCTTCCTTTTGGTATTAAAGTGGCACCAGCCATTTTCAACAAGCTATGGACGTCATGCTGAATGATTTAGACTTTGCGATGCGCTTACTTAGACGACATCATAGTAAGGAGCGAATCGGGTAATTTAACATCGAGAGCATCTCAATCAAGTATTTAAAAAGATTCAGGACTTTGGATTTAAAGTCAAAAAAGAGTCAAAGTGCGAATTTGGTTTGGAGGAAATTAAGTATTTAGGGCACATAATCAACAAAAATGGCAGATGTCCAGATCCGGAAAGGTCCATTGCGATTAGAGACATGCCGACGCCCACTAATGTGGCGATGCTACAAAGTTTTCTAGGGCTTGCAAATTATTATCAAGCATTCATTAAAGGAATGTACAATTTAAGAGCTCCGTTGAATGAACTGCTAAAAAAAAGACAAGGCATGGGAATGGACGGTAGAATGTCAGAAAGCCTTTGATGAAATAAAAGAAAAATGCTTACGTCCGACCTCTTTTTAACCCATTACAATCCAAAACTGGATATTGTAGTGGCAAGTGACGCTAGTTCATACGGGATAGGGCGTGTATTCAACACATAATGCCAGATGGTTCTAGAAAACTAATTGCACACGCCGAGAACTTTGCTCCCAGGAGAAAGAAGTTACTCTCAGATAGAGAAAGAGGCACTGAGTATCATTTTGCCATACAAAAATTTCACAGGTACATCCACGGCAGACATTTTATCCTTGAAACGGATCATAAACCACTGATCACTATTTTTGGTTCAAAGAAAAGGGTTACCCGTTTATACAGCAAATCATCTGTTAAGATGGGGAACCATTCTTCTCAATTATGATTTTCACATAAAGCACCTATCATCCAAAAAGATAATTCATGCGGATAGTCTATCAAGACTAGTACCGAGTCAAGAAGAAAGATTCAAGAATCAATTATTGCAAATATCAGAGCAGATTATGAGGTGAAAAGCATGGTAAACAACATTGTAAGAGAGCTACCGTTACGCTAAATGAAATTAAAAAAAAGAAGCTGAAAGCGATGATTTCATTTAGAAATTAAAAAGCAAAATGGTAGCAAATGACCAAAAAGTGGAGATTTTTTCAATAGGTGATAGAGTTTTATTATATGGTGAGAGAGTAGTAATACCAAAAAAGCTGCAGAAAAGAATACTTGGGACTTTCATATGGGTCACCGGGTATTAATAGAACAAAAAGCTTAATGCGAAGCTTTGTGTATTGAAAGGAATGGATGTGGATATCGAAAACATGGTTCATCGATGTAAGGGGTGTGCGTTAGCAGCTAAGGCACCACCTACAGTACACAAACCATGGCCCAAGACGGAACATCCGTGGACATTGATTTCATTGATTTCGCTGGTCCAGTAGAAGATTTTTACTACTTAATAGTGGTAGATAGTTTTACAAAATGGCCGGAAGTACTACGCTGTAAAAAGCCTACGTCCAATACCACAACAACTTTTTTTGCATGAACTATTTGCACGGTTCGGTGTGCCAGAGTGTATTGTGAGTGACAATGGTACACAATTCACTTCTGAAGAATTTAAGGAATTTTGTGAGTTATATCAAATTAACCACATAACGGCGCCTCCGTATCATCCGAGGTCTAATGGACTCGCAGAAAGATTTTGTCGATACTTTAAAGCGAGCTCTGAAGAAAGCCTCAGGAGTTCCAACGGAAAAAGGCGCTTCAGCAATTCTTACAAGTATACAGAATCACGCCAAACCAGAGAACACACTCAAACATGGCACCAGCTGAACTAATGTTCGCTAGGAAAGTTAAGTCAGTGTTTGACAAGCTTTTGCCAGGAAAAAATAGAGTAAAAAATACCATGTATACAGCGAGAAAAAGATACACTCCCAGAGAGAAGGTGTTTTTCAAGTGCTATAAAAACAACGTTGAATTCTGGAACGAGGCATAGTGGACAAGAGAATCGGTGACCTGATTTACATAATTAAAGGGCGAAGAATACTCATAAAAGGCACCAAAACCAACTTAAAAAGATTACGGTATAGAGCAAGAAGAGTGTATACCGGATGAGGGCGAAAGATCCCATTGATATAATGTATGATATGTTTCAGTTAGAACCTCCACAGAATACACCTGAACCAAGAAGATCCGGTAGGAAACGGAAGTTGACGGACCCATTGGACGTGAATCCAAAACGGAAAAAATATTAAAATTAGGCAAATGGATCTACAAAGAAATAGCCATAATCATCAACCCATATAGGAAGCCAATTTGAAATCCAAAAGGGATTCCAAGGCTTGGGAGGAGGGTGTTGTGGTACGATACACCTAATTTACATAAGTGGAGTACCGACCATATAAATATGGGTTGGTACCGGAAGACGGGGGAGTAAGAAGAGATCGAATCCAGAGACTCTGCCCGACTGCGATTTAGTCAACCCATTCTGCAGGAACAGTCTTCCCAAGAATATACCAAAACTAACTGTAAATATTGTGTACCTTTTCCTTGTTTCAATACATTTTGTTTACGTACATTTTGTGTTGTATTATTATTATTCCATGCTTATCTAAGTTTCAACAATAACGAAAATTTCGAACGTGCTAGGAACGATTAAAAAATGGAAAAAAATACCCCAAAAATACTTTGACCTTTCCTCTTAATAATAACAAACATTTAGACGATAAAATTTTGTTTTCGTCAAGTTTGGCGTCTTTTTCATCATGCTATACTCTTTTTTTAGCGATCTCGTGGATTTACCTATATAAAAATGTCTCAAATCTATTAAGAGTGAATACAGTGAGGCAATATTTTTAATGATAATGTTTTGCCAACTGTTGAGCTGTTTTCATATGTAAAGCATTCTAGCTGTATTAAATGGTAACAATAAAATAAAAATTATAAACAGAATAAAGAAGTCCATCTGAAATGCCTAATAGAATGCATCAGCTATGATGTATTTATAGGATAATGATAATATTTAATCTCATAATCTCAATGAATTCTAATTTTTTAACATGTTAACTTAGTTATTGTTAAACTTTAGTAATTATAAGTTTATAGTATTTTTTTAATTAATCCAAGCAAATCTAAGATGGAAGGTGCTACTTTGAGTGAAAGAGAATGAAAAAAACTTTAGAAGGAACCAGAAAACCAATTCTAAACAGGAAATTGCTACTCCTGTTCAAAAGACCAGGGAGGAGTGTGAACCTATCTACTCATTAATTGGTCCAATTATGACAATGCCCTAAATTGTATTACCTAAAAATAAAAAAATAAGGGATATAATACAAATTATTGAGGAGAATGTTAAAGACATAGCAATTTTATGCTTTCAATCTTATAAAATTTCTTGTATTCTCTATATCCAGAAACCAATTATTTTACTGATTCACCTGGATTGACACAAAACCACATTTATAGGGCAAGAATCCAACTCAAACAATGTTGTAGAACATGGATGCAGACAACTACATAACCATAAACAGAGATAGTATTATTTTTATATGAATAAGATGAAAAAGTGTTACTTTCATATTAAAAGAAGCAGAAATCTTTTTTATGGTGGTACCATTGCAGCAAGACAATGTATCTTCACATATTTAAAAACTTACCATTTTATACAGATAGTAAGCATCACCAGAATGTTTTACAACAACATGGTTTCCTTCAAGCTTACCAATGAAATAAGGACAAAAACTTGGCTTTTGTCTATCAGCTGCTAATATTGGAATAGGAAACAGAGAACTGAATCGTTCATGTGTAGGCCCTCGCTTTTTCTTCTTTTGAGGAACAGGGAAGTGCATTTCCATCATGTATGATTTATCGAAAATCTGGTAACAAAATTTTAAAAAAATTATAACAAATCTACTTCTTTTCAAATATAAAAGTACATTTACACAAACCATAGCCATTTTTTATTTTATTAATCCATGAAAAGTATAGAGAAACATGTAGATAGGCATTACTAATTCAACAAGTGTTGTCAACAACAAAAGTAAGAAGTTAAACATGATTTACAGCTTAACTAGAGAAGGAATTTTTTTCATGAGAGACTTATGTAGTAATGGAAAGAAGACATAGAACTAGAAAGTAGATAAAAAAAAAACACGAAAATAAATTTTAATTTAAAAATACTCTTTATCTCTTTATAGTAGTAATGTGGTAATAGTAACTATGCTAAATTCATCACTTTGTACAGGTAGAATATTAAATTAGTTAGCTTATATTAGGTTATTTTTAAGAGTTACCATTCTGTAACTAATTTGCAATATATTTTTATTAATTTATATAAATAAAATTGTGATTCTTGAACAATGGAAACATTCAAAATATGTATTGATCCACTATCTTTTTTTTTTAAACATTTCTAAATAATCAAATTAATTTCTGTCAGTGAACAATAAATGTTACTGAGATCTTATCAAATCTATATACCAGCCACTAGCACATACACTGAAATTTTTGTGTATAGGCATGGTGTTGACATCCAATATCAAAATTATATATTTGTTTTTGTCAATTCATTTTCCCTTTTTTTCAATCTACTGTTTATTCTTGAGGGACTGGTTTTCCAACATGACTTGACTGCTGAACAAGTGTTACAAGGGTAGTTGGTTGGATGAAGTAAAAATATCCTCCTCCATACAAGATAAATGAGGAATGGTCTGAGCTGCCAACAGTTGTAGCTAATGTTTCTAAAATTAAAAACTCAACCAGTTTCTAAAATTTAACTGGTTGAATATTCCCAGAATATACTGTTCCCAACGAAGATGCACAATTAAGTAGTGTTAATCTAGGTCTTCTCAGTAGAATGAATCATAAATATGATCAGCAATGCAGAATTGCAGAGCTGTTTCTGCATATTTAAAAGAATGGTGGAGGATTATGCCAAAGTAGCCTAGAAATATACTTGATTAGAGATGCTTAGCACAATGGTCCTGACAATTATTTTATTGACAACCATTAAAAAGCAATAAAACTTTTGAATGCCACTAGAGTGGTGATTAAAAAGATTATGGTATTGCTTTAAATAGTAAGCAATACCATTCATCTGGAGGAGTTTTGTAACTAAAACCAGGATTAGATGATCTGCTCTATGAATTGTACAAGAGGATATTTATCCTTGTTTCTGTTGACTATTATGTTGAATAGCTGGTTTACCATGGATATATCTTGCAGAAGATTCTAGGTATGGTTAAAGTTTTAAAGTTATAACCAAACCTAATATCTTCTGCAAGATAACCATAAGTAACTATACCTAGCTTCTGCATGCTGTTTCCCCTGGTAAATCAGATAGTTCAGGAAAAAAAAGTAAAAAAAATTGAGAATAAAGTGTTTTTAGATGTTTCCACATCCATATAATTTTGATAAACAAAGTGAAAGATCTAAAGAGCTCATAAATTTGACAAATATCTTTCTGCATTGTGTTGGTGTAGAGGAGAGGGAGTTACTATGTATGAATTCGAAGTGCTTTTGCAAATCAAAATTGAACATTGTTTTTAAAATTTTATTTAATTTGAATATTGATTCATCTTTTAAGCAGATTTACCTGCAAAACTGTTTTGAGAAAGAAAAATTTAAAAAATCTTTGTTTAATTAAATCATTTTTAAACGAAGATATTTTAAATAAAAAAATGTGATTTACTTGTCATCAATCAAAACAAAACTCAAAAAAAAAAAAATAAAAAAAAAATAAAAGAAGACACTTAATTCAAATTGCATAAAAAATTAAAACAAAATTGCTTAAAGAATGAGACAGTTGTGAAAACTATTCTGGTAAATTTGCTTTTTAACACCCATGCTAAATATCTCTTAAAATTTTCCCAAATCGTCATAATTCCGTGTAAATGTACATGCTGAACTCAAATTAACAATTAAATTATGAAGAAACCTACTGTTTTGGAGTTATCGACAAGAAAAAATCAGACTTCTGGTTTGTAATTCATCCTCCATTATAGGCATTCTTTTAATACATTCTGCCCGTTCTACTATTCAAGATTTCCGGGGGCGCAATCGAAAAATTTGGCCTATTTACTTCTTTTACAGCTATATCTGTTTTTGAAATCACTACGCATTATCGTAATTTTTTTTTCTTTTTGATAAGTGTAATCTTATTTATAACAGAAAAGTTTAAACAAAAAGAAAATTAAATAATACAATAAAACCTTTTTTCTGTGTAGAATAGCAATGACAAATTAAAAGAACAAATTAAATAACAAAAATAAAGCATTTTTTATATTTTAAAATTGAAAATAAAACAAAAATTGTTTTTTTTCTTTTTTTAATCATGGCAGAAATATTTTTTTTATATTTATTACCCCACCTCCAATTAATTTTATGAAAACGCTAGAAATTTGATCGCATTGGGTTAATAGATTACAATAGTTAAAAGCACAAGGCTTTGAGGAATGCAAATAATTCTTTTTTGTTTTTTATTGGATCCCACCTACCTGAAAATCAGCTCTGAATTGTAACATATAAAAATCAAAACAAACTTCTTTTATTTGCTTTTAGTTGTTTTTTAAATGGACAATATTTTCTGAAAGCAAAAAATTTTTTTGATGAAAAATGAATTTTTAATACAATTATTTGCTATTTCTTTAATTATAATAGATTTTTAAGTTGTTAAAATATAAGATTAGTTAAAAGCCGCATTGGGTTTCCTAAGTGTCCTTATGAGATAGATCTTTTTTTAGCGCGTTGTAAATTGTATCATTTTGACTAATCAGAAGATCTGCAGTAATTAAATTAATTAAATGTAATTTTGTGTTTATAATCGGGCTGTAATTATAAAGTACAGAAGACCAACCAGAATACAATTAAGTTGCATTATTTGAGATAAGCATTGTTCTCCGCTGTTAAGGCGTTTACTTTTGTGAAACACGTGGAGAAGTTAATTTGATTTTTCAATTTCAACTGAGAAGTGTACCTACAAGTATCAGTATCATCTTATGAAATTTAATTTATATGATCTTATTTTTATATTAATTGCAGTTATGACATTTTTCCATAAATGAAATATCAAAATTAATAATAAAATGAATGCAAATACAAATAACACAGTAAAAATGTAATAAATGTAAAAGTATAGTATTTTATGTACAGTTCTGATAAAATTTCATAAGATAGGTACTTATAAATTAATAAACTTAAGTTAACCCATAAACATAACACTTTGTAAAGAGCATGATTATGTACAAAATAAAATTACAAACAAAAAAATGCTAGAAACGAAATAGGGGTTTACTGTATTATTTAATGTTTTTTTTCAATTTGTCCGCTTTAAATTTAAAAAAAAAAGAAGCTTTATTGTATCATTTAATTTGTTCTTTTAATTTGTCATTGCTATTCAACACGGAAAAAAGGTTCTAGTGTATTATTTAATTTGTTTTTGTTATAAATAAAACTACGCTTACCAAAAAAAAAAAAAAAAAAATACATTTCTTTACGGTAGTGCGTAGTGATTTTCTGCAAGGAAAGTCTGTAAAAGAAGTAAATAGGCCAAAATCCACCGGAAGTACTACGCAGTGAATCAGTGTTCATGATGGCAGTAATGGGGGACGAATGACCAACAAGAAGTCCGATTTTTTTTGCCGATAACTCCAAAACAGTAGGTTTCTTCATAATTTAATTGTTAATTCGAATTCAGCATGTACATTTACACGGAATTATGACGATTTGGGAAACTTTTAAGAGATTTAGCGCGGGTGTTAAAAAGCAAATTTACCACTATTCTTCTTAAAACTTACAATGATGGAAAATCAAAATATAATCAAATCCGATGTTTGTTGAAACGAGAGACTTAATTATTTTTTTAATGCTAATTGAAATGATATGAAAAAATTTCATGATAATCGATTTTTAGTAGCTTTATTTAGAAAAAAAGAAAACCTCTCTGATTAAAAAAAAGAAAGAAGGGAAATCCCCTGCTTTGTCTCATGTCAAAATAGCAAAATTTGTACGTAATATTAAAGAATAAAATAAATGACAACTTAAATTAGGTGCAAAAAAAAAAAAAAAAAAAAAAATCACGCATGCTGATGTATATGAACCTCCGCTTTTTCACCTATGGAAATATTGCTGATTTACTAAGCGTAGCTTAAATCTAGCACAAGACCGCAAGTATGAAGAACTCACTGAGAATCAAACTTACTTCTTAGTTGTAATTAATCTGAGAGAAACTTGACAGCCATTACCTAACGTCGAATTTCCAAACTATGGAATAAACACTACGCTGTGCTGTGATTTCCTGTTCATACAAGAAAGAGAGAGGGAAAAAAACAACAAAAAAAAAAACACATTTTAACGGTGCATAGTCAAAAAAATCTCCACCGAAAATATCCAACAATTCTAAAATATTTTTGTATATTTGTTTTAGTTTTATTTTAGTTCAAATTGTTTGGTGTATGAGTTGTCACCGTGTTAAGATAGATAAATAAATAAATAAATGGAGGGTAAAAGTTTGTAGAGGATTCGAGCAACATGGCGAAATTTTTTTTTTAAGAAAGCCTTAACACTGAACACGATTAATTTTCGACAAATAATTTTTAAGTTTCTGGTAATATTCCATTAAAAATTAAGATTATCAAGGGAAATAACTTTTATTTGGACCTTTGAAATTATATCGTTTATTTTATTTTAGAATCCAATCGCGCTTTCGTTCTCAACATTTTCTTGCACGACAGACCACATCACTAGGCACTGTATCCAATTACTTAGTGAATTTGACCGCATTAGATGCTCTTCTACTGCTTTGTACCAAGCTAAGTTGAATAAGTTAGACGATCGTATTAAGGACAAACACTAAAAGTAA